GTCAGTGAGTCGCTCCCAGCTGTTCTTCTTCTGCTCACAGGCTCCTGTGCACTGAGACCCTTTCGCAGCAGCAGCGGTGCCCAGATCTCTCCAGAGCACAGTGTGTGGTGCATCATCTGCTACCTGTTTGCCGACAGGAGGCCGGCAGGAAGACACGACACAGATGCGACAGATTGCACGCAGGACGACGGACACTGCAGCTCGCCTCAGCCTGGCTCGTTTCTACAGTGTGCTTAAAGCACAACGAGAAAATCACACAGCTCTTACAGAACAAGTCAGACTCTACAGTTGATTTGTTGAATCCTTAATAAAAACACTAACTAACAACCAGCAGTGACGATGGCAATAACATACTGTCACCTTAAAAGAACTTTAACTTTAACCAAGAAGTTTTTCTTTGTACAATTAACAAATCAAACGAAAAAGAAAAGTAACTCCAGCTCGTTCATGTTCCACTGCTGCTGGAATAACTGGGACTTTAAACTGAGAATATTCAGTCAATCGAGAGATTTGTAAATATGATGTGAAAATGCCTTTTTATTGAGCCACGAGATGGTAATCTGGTACAGTAATGTACAGGATGGATGCAAACAGTCAAGAAACTTGACAGACGCTGTTTCAGCTGTAATGAAAGAAATGACTGATGGTACGTGGGTGATGAATGATCAGGCATCGAACATCCTGCTGGTCCTGACAGAAGGCTGCTGCTTCAGAGAAGCATTGTTTTCATTGTTCTCTGACATCACTGAGTCCCTATTGACTCTCATGTTAAGACTAAAGTACAGCAATAACCTGTAACTTGGCCACTTGGGTTTATAAAGCCTTAAAGTTAGAACAGTGACAACAATAACCAACAGCAGCAGCTGCAGCTGATAGTGGACTGCCTGTCAGCAGACAGCTATGGACTGTGTCCTGGTGCCTTTGGATCATTTGTTTCCAGAAGGACAGCTGACGCAGAAAAATCACACATAGTTATTATAAATATATAAAGATAAGTAAAATAAATGAGTTATTTGTTTTATATACTAAGAAACAAACGTCTTTAACAAAATAATACACAAATTCTTCTTTCTATTCATTGATTCTCAGTTCTTACAACACAAAACACATAATCAGGTGAACTGAATAATCATGAATCCTAAAACTGATAAAAGTCCAACATCCGTGTGGATGGAAGAAAAGCTGAATGTGGAGCGTAACAAAAGTCACTGACAAACGTATGTAGGTGTAGTTACAGGTGAACACACCTGAGCAACACGGCCTTCAAACTGACTGTTTGCAGTCTGGAAGTGCTTGATCAGCTCGTCACATGACTTCAGTGAACTCTGTGTTTCTGTCGCTCTAATAAACTCAAGTCTTTGGTTGTGGTTTGTTTTTCTAGTTTGTTGCTACAGCTGTCATTTGTCCAGGTTTTATTTTGAAACAACACTCCTGCTCCACTAACATCTGGCATGTCAGCTGTCCACAGAGATCTCATTAGTCTGACGTTTTCTCAAGTGTCGCTGCATAAACGCCGTCGTCCATCAGAGGTCGTCCGGCTCAGAGCAGAGCGTTGATATATATTCTGAGGAGAAACTGCACCACCTCATTAGGTGTGTTTGTGTGTTTGTGTG